TCATAATAAATCTGTAGATAGAAGTACTGGAACAATTTCTTTACAACAGAAGTGACTGAATAGAACAAGACTTGTTGTGGGACAGAGAAGACTTAAAAGCAGTAGAATACGTTGAAAGAGTACTGGATTTGGAGCTAAGATACTTAGATTTCAGTAATATTTACTCTTTGTGCTGCTCTGATATGCTCTTTCCCTGCTCTGAGTTTCATTTCCTCATTGTTAAAATAATATTATTTGAATGACATGAACTTTAACTTCCTTCTAGCTCCCATTTGGCATAATTTTATGAGAATTCCCCCTCTGGACCCTGCCCCTAACCAATACCATCACCACTGCCACTGCCGCCACTTATGCAGCTGGTACCAACTCTATAAATCTTCACTCTCAATCTTCCCTGTCTTTTCACCACTCATCATTAGGTCACTGTCACCACTAATAAACATGTTTATCAAATTTACTTCTTCATTTTATTTAATGCTGAGGCCCGTCTGTGGGCTTGTCATCCTGGGAGGAGAATTAAAATTAAACAGAGAAAGAAGTTGCTGATGGGGTCCCCTCCCACTCTCTAGAGGACAACTTTTACATGTCATCTGGGAACTTAACTTGCTTTGCCTCGTCTTACCTTTTTCTTTTATTTTTAGCCACTGAATTTCACATGAATTATCCAATCCAATCTGATCTCCATGACTCCGGTGTTCTTGATTCAACAGCTCACAGCCAGAACCAAAAGTAGCAGCTAAAATTGGGAACTCTGTTGTTTCTTGAATAAATCTACATCAACTCCAAATAAGCCTATATAATATCAGAAACACACAGATTTGGACACATCCTGCAAGTATAGACATTTTCTTTTTAGAGGAAGTAAAATTATTTTATCCTTAAAATGAATTAAAGCAATTACGACATTAACAAAACAACAACTTAAAGTTTGAATTTGAACTTTCAGGTATGAATTTTATTGGATTTTCAATCATTTAGGAAGGTGGCCTAATTAAATATCATTTTTACCATTGTGGAAGCATTTTATGGGTGGAAATAATCATGCTCTTTGGGAAGTCCTGGTATCATATCATTTCTCAGTTGTTGGCTTTCTGGCCTGAAACAATTTACTTCATATTCCCAGGCTTCAGTTTCCTCTTTTGTAAAATTATAATAGTTCCTGCCACATAAATTGTTTTGAATATTAAAGAAAAATGTGTGTGAAAATAATAATCAGAGTAAACAGACAAACCACTCAGTGGCAGAAAATATTTGCAGACTATGCATCTGACAAAGGACTAGAAACTAGAATCTACAAGGGACTCAAACAAATCAGCAATAGAAAAACAAATAATCCCGTTAAAAAGTGGGCAAAGGACATAAACAGACATTCCTTAAAAGAAGATATACAAATGGCCAACAAACATGAAAAAAATGCTCATCATCACTAATCATCAGAGAAAACCAGAGTGAAATAGCAACTTACTGCAAGAATGACCATTATTAAAAAGTAAAAAAACAGTAGATGCTGGTGTGTGTGGATAAAAGCGAATGCTTCTATGTGCTAGTGAGAATGTAAATTAGTACAACTTGTATGGAAAATGGTATGAAGATTCCTTAAAGAGCTACAAGTAAATCTACCATTTGATACAGCAATCCTACAAATCACAATTGCAAAGATGTGAAATAAATCTATGTGCCAATTGACTAACGAATGGATAAAGAAAATGTGGTGTATATATACCATGGAATGCTTCTTAGCCATAAAACAGATTGAAATAATGTATTTTGCAGTAACTTGGGTGGAGCTTGAGTCCACTATTCTAACTAAAGTAACACAGGAGTGAAAAAACCAAAATCCAGATATTCTCACTTATAAGTGACAGATAATCTATGGTTATGCAAAGGTATACAGAGTGATAAAGGGATTATAGAGACTCAGAAGGGGGAGGTTGAGACAGGCTTGGCACAAAAATATTACACATTAGGTGCAATATATACTACTCATGTGGTGGGTACACTAAAAATCTCAGTATTTACTGCTATATAATTTATCCATGTAACAAAAAAAAGCACTTGTAGTTCAAAAACTATAAAAATACAAATTTAAAAATAATTTTGTGAAAGTACCTATTTTCACATCTGATACGCAGTAAGCATTAAATAAATGTAAGTTTATTTTCTCTTTATTTGTATACAGAGTCATCTCCAAGGGCCTTTGGTTGGATCCTGTACATTTCCAGGTTTAGAACATCTCCTAAGAAGTGTAACTTTAACAGAGGACTAGAAGATCTAGATCAGTATTTTTTCTTTTTTTTTTTTTGAGATGGAGTTTCACTCTTGTTACCCAGGCTGGAGTGCAATGGCGCGTTCTCGGCTCACTGCAACCTCTGCCTCTTGGGTTCAGGCAATTCTCCTGCCTCAGCTTCCTGAGTAGCTGGGATTGCAGGCACGCACCACCATGCCCAGCTAATTTTTTGTATTTTTAGTAGAGACGGGGTTTCACCATCTTGACCAGGATGGTCTCGATCTCTTGACCTCGTGATCCACCCGCCTCAGCCTCCCGAGCATTAATTTTTAAAGAGAGAGGTAGAAAATAAGTACTACTTGAAAAAACATATTCTTTATCATAAAAAATTGAAAAAAATAAAAATGTTATTATTTCTCTAATACAAACTATGAAAGTACAGATCTACAAAATCTCCTTGGCTGTTTGACACTTAGTACTTGAGAAATGTCAATGTGATGGAGCAGATTTTCCTACAAGTTCAGGGTCTGGTTTCTAGGAAGGCAAGTTCACAGTAACCTTGTGGTGAAATATTTCTGTTTCTCAAGGGGAACCTTGGCTTTAAAAGATTGAGAAATGCTGATTCAGTGTCATTGTCACTATGGAAATAAGATTTCAGCAAGTTTTATCTTTTTTCTTGCATTTTATCATTTTTAGAAAAAGGGAAGTTACTTACAAAATATTTGCTTGCGATCTAAAAGTTGAAGCTCTCATGAATTCCTGAAATAAATATAATGGCCATTGGGAAAGGATACTTTGTCCTCTTGGAGATCTAAACTACATTTCCCGAGTGTCCTGTCTAGATAGATTTCCCTATTATGGCCCCATTATTCACCACTTCATGACATTTAACTCTACTTAGATATCTAACAGCCTATATCAAATCATTTTACTGCTAGGTAGGAAATTAGAAACCATGTATTCCAAGCCCTATTCCATTATAATAGATAAGATTATTGAGACCTGCAGAAATGAAATAACTCACCAAAGACCACACAAGTCATTGGCAGAACGTGAACTATGACACAGACTTCTGACTCCTTGTGTATTGATCTATCTACTTCATCACTCTACCTGTGATGTATATGGACTGATACTAGGTAAAAACTTCCCTGCAAATATACAGATCGAAGTATAAGTAAACCTTTTGGACAAAAGCTTTTAAAATAAATCATAGACCTCCAGGAAGCCATTGTCCTGATTGTTAGAACTTGTAGAAAGTCTCATTTTACTACAAACAGCTCTGTTCTCTTTGTTTGAGCCAAGACAGAGCTGTAGGAGACATAGGCTGGCCTGTCTTTAAGACACCAACTCACTTACTTCAAACCAATACCACCCAGAAATGTGTGTACTCATTTGGTGTCTTTGGATTTAAGTAGTCTGTACAACTTGAACTCTACAGCTTTCCCAGTTGAGCCCCCAAAAAACTGCATTTGGCCAAAGAATCTGTGTTTAACAGGAACTATCACAAAAACAATTGCCCCAAATGTGTGGTCTGATTCTGAGAATACTTTACACCATTTTCTTTCTCTGTATACCTGTATTTCATCTGCTCTCATAAGTGATTAATTTTACTGTGTTGCAATTGCTAAGAGACAGATTCTCCAATTAATAGACATTATAATGACTCCACACATCCATTTGAACAACTGAAATAAAAATATTTTCACTTGCAGGATTCTTGGAACTGAGCCTATTTCCCTGGAAAGCACAGCAAAATCTGGTATCTCTCTATACAGACTAATCTTGGTTCCAGTTGATTTGGCACAGTCTCCTTTAAGGGACTCCCTAGCTGAAAGTCTCCTTTCAATTTAATCTTCTTAGCTCAGAATGAGAGAGTTGCTAGCATTCAGAGTAATAACTGAATAACTGAAGCAATAATAACTGAAAAAATGAGTACCTCACTCATGGGCTCTCCTATCCAGTAAGGCTAAACTTCAGTCAAAAAGGAGTTTTCAAAGGATCAAGGAACCACTCCGAGCAGACTCTGAAGTTACCTTGGATATTTTCTCCTTTCCTAACCTAAAAAATGACAAAGTCACAAATACGTTTACAGTATTCTCTGGGAGATGCAAACTGCTGTAGGGGAAAGGGAACATGAATTTAAAGATACAGGTCCTCGTTCCACCTATACCACTAACAAGGTGAGTGAACATAAGTGTCTTCACTTCACTGCCTCTCAGTTTCCCTGACTGTATTATGAGGAATTTGGACCTCTAAGAGCCCTTACAGCCCCCAGAATATATTGTCTTATTTTCTACTATTTATCTCGGTATCTCTGAAAGTTCAATTTTCCAAAGCAAGACTTTCACACCTAAAAATCTTTTTTCATCATGTAGCTAGATAAATTATACACCATAAAAAATCAAATTGCCTCTTATTGGCTGAATATGTCAAGTTGTCCCAGTGAGTCTCACTGTGCACTTTTCTTACCACTTTGTGCCATCTTCCTTGGTCCCACGCTATAAAGAGCCCTCATCAAAGAGTGAGCTGCATCACAGACTCCATGCTCCTGGCATAATGAAGAGGACTGATGGCATTAACCTTAACTTTGGACTCTGGTCAAACTTAACGGTAGTTAACTTTGCTCCTGTTATAAGAGGTCTGAGATGAGAAACCAGGGACAATTTAAATACAGACTCTGGCCCCACATCCACCTCTGTTCTGATCTTTATGATCACACCAGTCTTCCCACATGAAACCACCAATCCCCAGGTGCTAGGCATTAACTTACCCTGGAGCTTAGCTGGGATAAGCACTCTTGTTTCTTTGCAGGGAGCAAAGGGTAAAAAGCTTACTCTGGCAGCATGGATCCTGCTAATAACTGACACATTTGTTGTTGAAAGAGGAAGTTGAGTTTATCTAGTGTCTCACCACAGAAACCTTATTTTCACAGAAGAAAGGTAAGTCCCTTGAGCAAATGACGTTACTCAAATTTCATTTTTTTTATTTAATTGGTGGAGAGAAATTCAAATAGCAGGGAGTCAGAGGCTATACATACTCACGCAATGGCTATATAGCAGCCTTCCTCAACTTATCTCTATCCTTTACAAGTGACATACCTAGACTCTCACTAGATTGATTCCAGTAGGTTCCGTGGTAAGGTGAAATTTTCAGGCAAATCTAAAGAGTGTTTACCTAGTAACAGGAAAGCTGCAGCTTGTGCAAGCCTGAGGGGCAAAGGCAAAATTAAAATACAAGTTAAAATTAGAAACAGTAGAAGTACCTCTGCTGAAGATGTTCTCTCCATCTGGAGTGCCTTTCTCCCAACCCCTTCATCTCGAGGCTCACAATGTAAAACATAGTTTGGGTTATTTTTGTATATTTATTAGCCCTTTACTAGACTACACATTGCTTGAGAGCAAAGATCATGTCTGACTCATAGCTGTATTCCCAACTTGTCCAGCACAAGGCATTTTCATGAATTGTTATTAAATAAATACATATGGGAATTAATGAATAAACAAATGATCAAAGAATGCATGAATAAATAAATGAATATTATTGATTACAGTCTCCCTTCAATGTACTAAATTCTTGTATTATGTACAGTGTATATGGGGCCTTCAAAACCATGTGAATACAGAAAGATCACATGCTTGAGGACTATAGTGTCAACTAAGTCTGAGAGTAGTTTTGAGAAACAAGGTTTAAAATGCAGCGCAAACTTCTGTGGATATGTAAGCAAACCACATTCAAAACCCAAGACCAGTAGCTGCAAAGAGCTTTCTGAGTAACAATCTTAGCAAAGAAGACAAAATAATTACTGTAGGATGGGTCAAACTGGAGAATTTTGACTCATGGATAAGACTGATTAAAGAAAAAAGTTGATGACAACATTCTTACAGGAGGGCAACCTGGATAAGCAACAAGCTCTTTTTATAGCACTGGAACCACTAGCAAACTGAGTAGAACCACACCCAATACTCAAAGATGTCCAATACAAATCAAAAGAGTGTCAGGACATAAAAAAGAGAAGCTGTCAGCATTGGAAACTAAGAGCTTGGAAACGTCATAAGTTGTGAAGACTGGCAAAGGGAGACAGTACTCATCCTGGCTGATGTATGTCAAATGAGACACGTTAATCTTGCAATCCCCTTCTTAATTTTGATTTCAAATATTTTTTCAGCTCCTAGCTGTTGTTAATTTGGCTTTCCAACTTGGCATCCCTACTGAAAAGAGAATAAACTGACAGGCCAATCCACATTTCAGTCCATTTGGCAGTTCTTTTCCTCACTATGGCCAGTATGAGCCAGTTTTCTTAGGGTAATAATCTCCTTTGAAAAACAGACAAACAAAAGTTCCAGACCTGTAAAACCCTGGGATGGAGAAAGAAAATAAATCCTTTTCTTACAACTGGCTATCATCACCACATCCCAACTTTATTTCATAGATGAAACCTTCACATCGTGAGAAGGAAGTCTGCCAGTTTACTTCATTTCTGTCTTGCACGCAAGTATGTTCTTCTATCACAAAACCTAAAAAGGGAAGTAAAAGAAAACCAGAAGTCAGTGTCTCAATTCAAATGTAGAAAAATTTTAACTCAAGTAAATTTGGAGTGTTAATTATTGATGTGATTTGCCTCTGTGTCCCCTCCCAAATCTCATCTTGAATTGTGCTCCATACATTCCCACATGTTGTGGGAGGGACCTGGTGGGAAATCATTTGAATCATGGGAACAGTTTCCTCCACACTGTTCTCATGGTAGTTAGTAAGTCTCATGAGACCTGACATTTTTATAAGAGGTTTCTGCTTTTGCATTTTTCTCATTTTCTCTTGCTGCCACCATGTAGGAAGTGCCTTTTGCCTCCTACCATGACTGTGAGGCTTCCCCGGCCATGTGGGACTATAAGTTCAATTAAACTTCTTTTGCTTTCCAGTCTCAGGTATGTCTTTATCAGCAGCATGAAAATGAACTATTACAATTATAATAAAAAAATCTGTGGAAAAACAAGACAAGCTCATAACCTAACAATCATCTTCAATTAACTTTTAGAAGAAAGTATTTTAGTTATTAGGTGTGACTTATGGCCCACAAATCATTATAAACTGAAACCAAGTAATAAGTACCCTAATTATAAGAGCCTTAAAAGAAGTGCAGTTGTACTATTTTACCAATATTTCTAAATTCTTCCCTTATTCTTATGTATGTCATCAAAGTTTACTTTATTTGATAAATTATGTCTCCCATAGGCTGTGGAAAATTCATGATTTGGTGCTCCAAAGTCTTTAATTTTAACTGTATCAATATATGAGAAGTGATAGCTATTGTTGAGGATGTTATTCATTACCATGTATTGTGTTTCCCAGGTAACCCCAGAGCTCTATGTGATTTAGTATTAAGAGAAGCTAGATTTCTTTTTATTGCATTTTAGGTTTTGGGGTACATGTGAAGAACATGCAAGATAGTTGCATAGGTAGAAGCTAGATTTTTTCCATAAGCAAATGGTTAGATTTTATTTTTTATAAACACTGACTTTATAATTGGTCATGTGTCTCTTCTACAAAGTCTGAAATCTTGAACCAACTTAGAGTCTACTGGTAGCAAGTGTGGAGATATTTTATGGTGTGCTTTGTGGGATTTGTTTTATCGTATCTCAATTTTTATGTCTTTGCCAATTTTATTATTACTATTTATCTACTCTTAACTTATATTACCTTCTTATAACATTCTTCCTCTGAAACAATTTCCACTCCTTTCTGGAACATTAGTGGAATCAAAAAATGAAAAATAAAGGACAGAGTGAACTGCAAACCTCAATTCTTTTTTATTAGAGCTAGTGAAACTAAATTGCTTCAGATAAACTACCATCAAGAGTTTTCCATGTCTGATTATATATCTGCAGGGTATTCCTAAGCATTTTTAGAAACTAATCATTTAACAAATACTTAATGAACTACAACAATGAGAAATTTCTCCAAAGCTGTATAGGAAGGCTGGGTTTTAGAAGCAAAAACTGTGTTTCCTATCCTCCAAGATTCCACAGTTTAAGTGACAAGTTAATTACTTATAAAATAATTAGAAAATATAGCATAGTATATGATTTACTGTTAATTTGTGTGAAAATTAAGAAGACAAATTAACCATGGGCTGAATCTGTTGGAGGTGATTTTATGGTCCTTTCTTGATGGGCAAGTTTTGCTTAAAGCAGTGTGTCCCAAAATATAAAATATGTCCTAGTGGAGACATACCAAGGTTTGTTGTATTTTAGATGGTATGAAGAAAAGCTTAAAAATTAAAGCTATATATTCATTAAATCTTTCAAATATAATAAAATTAGCCATACAAATATGTTATTTCTTAGATAATATATCTTAAGAAGAGGCTAAAGTGGATAACTAAATTTTTAATCCTGTGATTATTTTTAAAAAAAAACTACAAAAGAAACCCCACAAAACTATACAGGATATGCAAATAATGAAATCTACAGAGGAACACTTGAGTGTCTGAAGTTCAGAAAATTTAAAGAGAATACAGGAGGCGATGGATTCCAAGAGAGAGAAGGAATATTGCCAAGTACATGAATGGAGAATAAACATGTACTGTTTGTGTGAAAGTGAGGACAAAATTTTGTCTGACCCATAGAGCATAGTAGGAAACAGAGGGAAAGAAGCTTGGAGGATGGAGTTCTACAAACATGCCTTAGAGTATACAAGTCCTGGGATACAGGAAATAATTGAAATAAATAAATAGAGTTGGAGGAGGGAAAATAAAATTATTATTGAGTATTTTCCATGTCCTATAATCATTCTAGGCAACTTGCACACATCATCTAATTTAATTCATCAGTCCTATGGAATAGGGACTAATATTATCTCCCATTTTAACCATTCATGAATTGAAGTGCAGAGAAATTAGTTAACTTCTCAAAGATTATAAACAAGGAAGTGGGAGAGGCAAGATTCAGACTCACATCTCTCTGGCTCTAGAGTCTGCTTTCTTTCTACTGTTCTCTGAATGATCACTGAGACAATAGTGCACAGAAGGGATTGCAGGAGGGGGCAAAAGAGGAGGTGAAGATCTCTTTAGAGGCTAGATCAATATGTTTGAGGTAATTAGAGCCTGAATTGGAACAATAACAATAATTAAGATAGAAGGTAGTTCAAAAAATATTTTTCTCAAATAACTCTTAAAACTGTAATCAACAAAATGAAAGAGGAAATGAATTTTCATGAATAAGAATAAATAAATCTTTCAAAGGGTTCAATATTTGCATATTTTCCATTAAGACTTTTTTTTAGAGTCATATGAGGAAGTATAACTTCTTTCAGGGAAAAAAAACATACTTTGTAGCTGGAAGACAGGTTCTTTTTTTCTGAAACTCAAAGGCTTGTTTTGGAGACAGGTTTAGCACATGGCCAGTTCTTGAGGGCCCCTGTGAGGAATCTGTAGTCTTGACAAGAAAAATGATTCACATAACATGAATTTTTAATAAATTGTGTTTCAGAAAATTTTTATAAGATGAGATTTTATTCAGTCAAATTAACGGCCATTTGGGTCAATGTGCTGTGAATTAACTAGAAAATGAGATTTCAATAAATTGTGAGTGATCTCTTAGGTGCCCATTTAGTCAAAGCCATAAACAATGAGCGAGAGGCAAAGGAATGAGGTAAAGAATGGCATCTCTTGTCTTAGTTTTACACTTCAGGCATTTGCTATGAGACTTATTAACTTTCATATGTGTCACCAGGATTGACTATTGAGAAAATAATGGAATAGGTGAAGACTATATTTGCACCCTATTTTCCCCTACTAGCCTTTTCGTTCAGCATTCTACTCAAGAATATGGTATGTTTCCAGACCCTCTGGGTTTCTATTTTTACAAAATAATGTGGTGTGAATAGATCCTTCATATTAAAACAGAAAAAAAAGTA